GGGTAGCAGTTTATATTTAATCTTTCACATACATAAAACAGTAATTCAAGGAAGCTGGCAAAACTGATGCCTAGTGCTGCCACTTAGTGGATCTGTGCTTTCCTTCCTTAAATCGGAAAAGTGAAGATTAATAACACTTTTCTGTTGTAGCTCATGAGAAACCTCAGTTCTCAAATAATTATGTTGTAGAAAAAGTGTAGCATGGGACTGTTTTTTGGCGGTGCTGGGTACTCAGAGTTCTTTTGTAAGTTGCTTTACATGATCACAAGACAAATGTGAGGAATACATGGGTGAAGCAACTCAGGTGAGGAATGTGTACCTCTTGTTTTCCTGCTGCCTCATATATAAAACAATCACATCAAGAAATAAGCAGCTCATGAATGCAAAATAAATAAATTCATATGGAATTTCAGCAGCCTGCAGAAATTCCAGCCACAGAAGATCATGCTTTTCTATCATGACAGAAGTTTAAAGGATGAATTTTAACACCTGAAAAACAATCTTAAGTTATTTACACTGAGCTATGGATGCTTAGATTTCATGCTTCTGTTATAAAGTGACCAACACGCTGACCATAAAGGGAACTGTTACTTCATGTACTAGTTGCCTGAACGTATCTATGTTGGGAAGAGGAAGGTCTTGTAAGACCTTTGAGCTAGAGTCAGACTGATAGAATCGAGCAAATCTTATCTCCCTAAGCAACGTGTTTCATCCAGCTCTTCAGGGCAGAACTGAAAATACTCTTTCACTTCAGTGCATGCCAACGTAAATTGAAAAGGACATTCTTTTAAACAGAGTACCAGTGGTGTTGTCTTCCACCTCACCTCCTGCTTCATAGCTTGCAGGCCTAGCACAGCTCATCAGAATGGATTCCTTGGACATTACTGGCAGAAAAGAAAAAAAAATAGATTGAAATACATAAAACGGTTAATATTACCTATACGAGAAAAAAATCAATGTTTTTTTTTAATGCCGTCTGAGTGCAACTGAGCATACAGTAGTTAATATTTCAGTGACTGAAGCCAAAGACACAAACAGCAAAAATAGATGTGTGTTTGCTTGTCTCTAAATAAATCAAGCATTGTTCATATATACGTTTCTCCCTGTGTAGATAGCACATACAAGCTTATGCTGCAGTATTTAAGACTTAGATAAGAGCTGTTTTAATACATAAGTGAGACTACAGTGAGTCATAAAGCTTGTGTTTATTCTTTCCACAGGGAAAACGTAAATGAATGAAGCATATATCGGCTCCATAGTATTTTGGTATGGCTGAACCAATCATAGTTTATTCTTCAGTTAGTGTGTAGTAAAAAGTGGGATAAATTTTTAATTTAGTCAGTTTTCAAGGGAGTGAAGTAGAATTTTTCATTGTCTTTCTATTCTGTGGAAAATTCTGTTTAGTGAGGCAGCAAGTCTATCTTTCTGTTATAACAAGACACTGACCTTCCTATGCCTGGTATATTCTACCTATGGAAGAAAAAGGTAAATTTACAACTGTAGGGAGTAAAAAGTTCAGTAAAATATGATGTTTACTTAATGTTTACCCAGACAGGAAGAAGCAATATACTCAGAATTTTCCATAATTTAGATGTAGATATATTTTAAATTTATCTAAGTAAAATGGCCATATGCAGAAAAAATGTGCGCCCATCTTTTGTTTTATACAGAACTAATGGGCTAAATTTTGTAATGCATGTAAGTATCTAAAACCCATGATTTCTTTTAAAATCCAGCCAGAGGACCTTAAAGATCCCAAAGTATTTCAAGGAAGTTCTGTTCCATGTTCCAGAATCAGTAATTGCACTCATTTCCATATAATTTCCTTTGCAGTTTCTTTTTTTCCCTAGGAAAACGTAAATGTGAAAATAAGTAAAGAAGTAGAAAATATCACAAGAATAAAGTATTTGAAGCATTCATTTAGGAACATGCTTTTAAGACACAGAACTATTTTTCAAGAAACAATCTCTTTTCCCAGGTACTAGTAAATGCCTCTAATATGCACTTCCAGATGTAACAATTTTTAAAATACGATTTAATCCGAGTTTTATTGTCCAGCAGTAATAATATGGCCTTGCTACAATTGAAACAACATTCTGAGTAGAAAACACATTGCTATTGTAACTCTTGAACTTTCCATTATTCTACAGACTGGTTCTGGAATTTATTCCTAAATTATTTATTTCAGCAAATCTGATTTGGCATTAAGGAAATGATGGAATTTGAGAAAAATGCCTTGTCAGCAGTTGTACTCACTTACATTTGAATCATTATTGATCAATGCCTGGGGTTTGGCCTGAATTCTTTCCCCTATGTTGGCTTATTTCCTCATTATTTTCTCCTTCATGCTCTGCACATTGGCAGGCAGGGGCAGCAATTCTGTGCCATTAATGGAGACAAATTCTGCAGCATTGTCTTTATAAATGAGTGCCCCACAGAGCAGTTCTCCTAAAAATGCTCATTTAAGTAAGCCTTACAGTGAAGGACTTGTGAAATGAGGTGAATATGGCCATTTCATATGGCCTCTTCCAGTTATACTCAACTGAACAACCGCAGAAACAAACTCTATCCTCGTAAAACGGTAACAGTACAAGAGGCCTCTTGTACTAGTTGAAGCGTTACATCCTAAATTTTTTATCTTGCTCATGTAAGGATATGTGTTAATACCCATTAATATATAATCCCTTTAAAAATTGTATTAGATTTGTTTACTGCTGTATCTTATGTATCTTATTAGATACTTGCTGTATCTAATGTACTGTTAAAGTGCATTACTCATTATAGAAGAAAACGGATTTGCAATTATGTTTGTATTGCTTTTCAGCTTATTAGATGCACCCTTGCTCAAATATTATAAAACGTTGAAAGAGTTGCCCTTCACAGTGAACTTGCTTATGCTAGGCATCGTTAGTCTTGTGTCCTGAATAAATCAGGCCTCGCCTCTGTGAGTACGTGGGCTTCTCAAAGGACTTCAAAATCCATGAGATGATTTCAACCAAACTGGGCAAACGGTAACTGTGAGGCAGATCCTAAACATCTCCGAAAAGCAGGGGGCTGTGTAGAGGAGAAAGGCCTAGTAGTGCGCTCAAGCATGCACGGAGGACAGCAGTTTTAGGTATGTCCCAGCTGTGGGAACGGCTTTAATTGGAGCTTGTACCTTGGGCGCCACAGAAACCGCACACAGGCACAGGCCCCCGCGAAGCAAGGTTGCATTCACTGGGCCTCGATATATTTGTCCCTTTCAGAGCTGCCCCTATCCCTGTGACTAGCACCAGCTGTCCTTTTTGTCCTCGCCCTTCTTCAGCCTTGCATGCCTGTCTCGCCACCACAGGTTGGGACACCTTCCCCGCAAGGGCAGGTGCTTCGTGACTAGCTCTGGCGGTTTTACCTCAGGCCTTGCGTTCTTCCCGAGTCTTCGCTGAACGAACACGTGAGCGCTTAAAAACCGAGTTCCTCGGTCGAGCAGATAGGAAGAAAACAGCGCTGCCTCCCTAGCCAAAAACCCAGAAGTCAAATACTTATCTCAACTTTATTAATATCTAAATCTCGTGACTTTTTGGCCAGGCTTTATTTCGCTCCCGTACCGCCTTCCAACCTCTCAGCCTCAGAACAGCGGCTCTCGCTGCCCGCGGCCGAGCACGCTCGCC